TGGGAATGGCAGATTTTCCCTAGAACAAGCCCCTGCTACCCTGAGATTCTAGAAACTCTAAAGAACTTGAAGCAAAAGGGAAAGTACTTTTGAAACAGATGTATCTTATAGCTGTGTCTACAGATGAAGCAGAAAATCCACACTTTTCTATGCTAAAACTTTTTTCTCTATTATTTCTTGGGAGCTTTAAGAAATCAAACCTCCCTTTGAATTAAAAAAAAAAAGATAGTGTGTAATTACAGTGTTGTATGGGAAATTGCATATTCTTTTCTGATTTTCCTTCTGTCTTTTGCTACTTTTCAAAAAAAAAAAAAAGAGAGAGACTATTAAAATCCAAAACACTTACAATAGTACTGATGCCAGGTAGCATGGGATATAGTTAGTTGCTCCTTGGGTCCTTGACTTGCCACAGAAAGGAATTTCAGAGCAAGTTGTGGAGAGAGTTTTGTTGTTTTTGTTTTTAAATTTTAGATTCGGGGTATACATATGCATCTTAGTTACATGGTCATATTGTATAGTGGTGGGGATTGGGCCTCAGGAGAGTCTTAAAGTACGGTTTATTAGAAGAAAAAAACCAACACATTCAAAAAAGAATGAGGATAGCCTTAAGGGAAAGGGCACACCCCCTTTCTGTTAGCAGAATGCTTTATATTTATAAACAAAATGATGATTAAGTAACCTATTGCTAAGCTAAGCTTTGTGTGTTACATGGGTTACAGGCTATTGATCACAAGTTTCAATTCTTATCGATTTACTCCTAAACTTGCTTGTGTTATGAGGATCTTTTGGATAATTGGAAAAGTTGCTGTTTAATGAAAAAAATGCCTCAATGTTTCTGGTAACTGCCTACTGTCTTATTTGTGGTCTTTGTAGCCACCCACCCCATATTCCAAGGTCGGGCCTGGGTCAGTATAGGTATTGTTTAAGAGAGTGATGTCCCAATAAGATAATGCCCAGATGCCTGCCATCTGGCTTTTAGTTATCTAAGCTATACCTACCTGTGAGAAACTCACTATCTATATATAAGCTATTCTACCTGTCCTGCCTCAGTATTAGCCCTTAAGTCCAAGTGTGTTCAGTTTCTTAAGTCAAGGGTCCCCAATCCCCAGGCCACAGACCAGTACCCAGGCCATAGACCAGTACCACTCTGTGGCCTGTCAGGAACTGGGCTGCACAGCAGGGGGTGAACGGCAGGAGAACTGGGGAACCGTCATCTGTATTTACAACCGCTCATATTACCTGAACTTCACCTCCTGTCAGATCAGCAGCACATTAGATTCTCATAGAAACACAGACTCTATTCCATAATCAAGCAGGTTTCTACAATTTGGGGATTTAAGAGGCTACATAGGTTTCATTAGTGCAGGGCTTCTTGGGGCCCTAGGACAGAACCATGCACGCTATGACTGTTTCAGAGGCCCATGCAGTAGGCCAGGTCTTCAAAACCTTTTTTTTCTGAGACAGGGTCTTACTCTGTCGCTTAGGCTGGAGTGCAGTGGCACAATCGTAGCTCACTGTAACCTCGAACTCCTAAGCTCAAGTGATCCTCCTGCCTCAGCCTGCAAAGTAGCTAGGACTACAGGGGCATGCCACCACACCCAGCTAATTTATGTGTGTGTGGGTGTATGCGTGTGTGTGTGGAGATGGAGATCTTGCTATGTTGCCTGAGTTATTCTTGAACTCCTGGCCTCAAAGATCCTTCTGCCTCGAACTCCCAGAGTGCTGGCATTATAGGCATGAGCCACCGTGCCTGGCTAAAACACATGTTTTAAAAAACACTTTAAAAACACATCTTAAATACCTTTAGATAATTCTTTTTTTTTTTCCAAGTTGGAGTCTCACTCTGTCACCCAGGCAAGAGTGCAGTGGCATACTCACGACCACCCCAGTGTCAACCTGCTGTGTCCCAGTGATTCTTCTGCCTCAGCCTTCCAAGTAGCTGGAACTACAGGCACATGCTACCACTCTCGACTAATTTTTTATTTATTGTAGAGCCAAGGTCTTACCCAGTTGCCCGGGCTGGTCTCAAACCCACGGACTCAGGCAATCCACTCGCCTCAGCCTCCCAGAGTGCTAGGATTACAGGCTAAGCCACCGAGCTCAGCCCTA